ACGTCCAGGCATGATCCAGGCGGTGAGACCGGACGCATCCCTCCACCGAGCGCACGCCAGTCGCATGTCAGCGCAGGCGCGTTGTCAGGCTTGAGAACGGGATGAGGGACGAGGGACGAGAGATTTGCGACGGATTGACCCCCACATCGGATGACGAGAGGCGAAGGCTCGAAGGCAGCGCAAGGGAGGAGGAAGCGGCGCCCGATGACGCTGGGGATCTCCCCCACAATCTCGACAATCTGGATGGTGTGACCTCACCTCACCCGAGCGGCGGGCAAAGTTCTGCAAGACCTGAGGCTGCCCCGATATCAGAGCTGTCGTTTGAGCTGCAGCTGCTGGGGCTGGGGGTTGACAACGCCGAATAATACTCCGCAGCCAAAAACCTACATAAGCGAGACTGGTGTGGCGTGATGTTACGCAGGGACTGCCGTCCAGTTGGAGGCCCAGGCCCTGCGGTGAAACCGACACAACAGCTCTCCCGCGGGCGGAATCAGGTGGTTTGGGCCCTGCTCCCTTAGCGTCGGTCGTAGCCGGCTGATGAGGTGGTGGTGAGGTGTCAGTGGAGTGCTCCCGTCTTGCAATATTCTCCTGTTGGAAAGGTGTCAGATAGGGTGTTGATGGCCCGTGGGTGCGCCCTGGACCACGCTGGTGGACCCCCCCTCAAGCCAAGCGTGCGCGGCAGCGATTTCCGATGGCGCTACCTATCGAAAACCCCTCCAACCCCTCCACTGTCGGCCCCGGCCCTCCGAGACGACGTCAGAGGATCCGCCTTTTCGATGGCCGCCAGAAAACACGGGGCGGACATTCACGACGATCAGAAGCAATCGAACTTCTCCTCCACACCCTTGAACTAGGTCTTACTACCTAGCCATCGCTCCGAGGAAGACTTTTGCTTCTCTTTGATACGAAGAGGTTGAGCAGTGCTCGATTCCCGCCGAGCCCGCCAACGCAAACAGCGCAGAGATTGCTCGTATCGCTTCATGGTGTCGCGCTGGAATTTGAGAGCCGTTGGCCGTCGGGCGGAGAGGGGTAGCTCTGCTGTATGCCCGCACTTCCCGGCATCGCGCCAGGCCATGCAAGATGGCGACGAGGTCGTTGCCGGGTGCAAAATGATTGGGCCGCTGTAAGCGGAAGGACCAACCTCCATGGGTTCAGACCCTGCTTTCCCGTCTTGGACAACATCAGACCACTGCTTCCTGCAGTGGGGTTCAAGGGAGCCTGCTTTGGAGTAATTGCATGGCGGCATGGCTGCATGGGATGCTGCATGGGATGCTGCATGGGTGAGGTAAGGGAGGTGCGTGGGTGGATACAATGGGATGGGATGGAGTATGCCTTCCCAAATCCCAGTGGAGGTTGTGTGAGGAGGGGAGCTGCAAGCGGGCGACGTCCGATTTCCCAACGGCGGCAGGGCCCGCAATTGCCATGCTGCTTTCATCGGAATCCGCATCCAAACGCCCCAGGATGCCAACGTTACCAGGATGCCGCCAGGATGCCACCAGGATGCCATCCCGCGCACGCCGCTGGCGAGCCACAAGCATGAAGCAACCCAACAACCCTGGGCACGCCGGTGGCAACCTGGACTGCATGCATGTCCACCTCAGTCATGTCCTCGGTCGACTCTGCGAATGGGCGATGTTGCTTGGGCAGATCTGCTTCCCTCCCCCTCCCCACCTCCCTGGCGAGCCTGGCTCTTACGACGTCCCGCTACACGCGGTTGCTGTACGAGGTCTACCCACCGCCCGTATTGCTCCCGCTGCCTTGGATCGGCCAGCTCGACGTCTCTCATGCTTCCGGAACAGGCGCTCGCTTCCCACGATGGAGTGCAGCCTGCATATAAAGACAAAAGGGCTGCGTCCCCCATTCCGCCCTCCTCTCTTGTCTTGCTCACCACCACCAGTCCTTAGCTACCAGGTTGGACACCCATCTAACCTGACATCACATTCCTCAGCCCGGTTGATTCCGACTTGAGGACCTTTCTCTCGTTTTACTTTACACCCGCCTAACCACCCACCATGGGCGATTCGAAAGAAGAGGGCAAGAGCATCAGCCCCTACGGGCCTGCTCGCTCCACCATCAAGGGCAACCCGCTCTCCGCCGAGGAGATCAAGAAGTACAATGACTTTTTCAAGGCCAGCTTGTACCTCAGCCTTGGCATGATCTACCTCCGCGACAACGCGTTGCTCAGGAAGCCCCTCCAGAAGGAGCACCTCAAGGCGCGTCTTCTCGGCCACTACGGCTCCGCCCCCGGCCAGATCTTCGCCTACATGCACTTCAACCGCCTGATCCCCAAGTACGACCTTGATGCCATCTTCATCTCGGGCCCCGGCCACGGCGCCCCCGCCGTGCTGTCGCAGGCCTACCTCGAGGGCACCTACTCGGAAGTCTACCCCGAGGTGTCGGAGGACGAGGAGGGCATGCAGAAGTTCTTCAAGTCCTTCTCCTTCCCCGGTGGCATCGGCTCCCACGCCACCCCCGAAACCCCGGGCTCTATCCACGAGGGTGGTGAGCTCGGCTACTCGATCTCTCACGCCTTCGGTGCCGTCTATGACAACCCGAACCTGATCGCCGTCACCATGGTCGGCGACGGTGAGGCCGAGACTGGTCCCCTGGCCACCTCGTGGCACAGCACAAAGTTCCTCAACCCCATCACCGACGGTGCCGTCCTCCCCATCCTGCACCTGAACGGCTACAAGATCAACAACCCCACCATCCTTGCCCGCATCAGCCACAAGGAGCTCGAGAACCTCTTCCTCGGCTACGGCTACCAGCCGTACTTTGTCGAGGGTGACGACATCGAGACGATGCACCAGGCCATGGCGGCCACCCTGGAGCACTGCGTGCTCGAGATCAAGAAGTTCCAGAAGCAGGCCCGCGACTCTGGCAAGGCCTTCCGTCCCCTGTGGCCCGTCATCATTCTCCGCACTCCCAAGGGCTGGACCGGCCCCCGCAAGATCGGCAACAACTACATGGAGGGCTACTGGCGCGCCCATCAGGTGCCCATCACCACGGTGCACGAGAACCCCGACCACCTCAAGCTGCTCGAGGACTGGCTCCGCAGCTACGAGCCGGACCGCCTCTTTGCCAATGGCAAGATCAGCGATGACCTCAAGAGCCTTTGTCCAACAGGCAACCTGCGCATGAGCGCCAACCCCGTCGCCAACGGCGGTCTGCTCCGCAAGCCGCTGCGGATGCCCGACTTCCGCAACTACGCCATCAAGGTCGACAAGCCCGGCGTCACTATGGATGCCACCATGAGCAACATGGCCGTCTTCCTGCGCGACATCATGGCCGAGAACCCAGACAACTTCCGTCTGTTCGGCCCCGATGAGACCGAGTCCAACAAGCTCGGCAAGGTGTACGAGGCCACCAAGAAGGTCTGGATGGGTGAGTACTTCGAGGAGGATGAGAACGGCGGCAACCTGGCCCCCGCCGGCCGCGTCATGGAGATGCTCTCTGAGCACACTTGCGAGGGTTGGCTCGAGGGCTACATCCTCACCGGTCGCCACGGTCTGCTGAACAGCTACGAGCCGTTCATCCACGTCATCGACTCGATGGTCAACCAGGTATGTCTCAACTGCCGAACCCCCACGGGGCTCATCTGCTAACAACCTACAGCACTGCAAATGGCTCGAGAAGTGCCTCGAGGTCGAGTGGCGCGTCAAGGTCGCCTCGCTCAACATCCTCCTGACGGCCGTCGTCTGGCGCCAGGACCACAACGGTTTCACGCACCAGGACCCCGGCTTCCTCGACATCGTGGCCAACAAGAGCCCCGACGTCGTCCGCATCTACCTGCCGCCCGACGGAAACTGCCTGCTGTCGTGCGTCGACCACTGCCTGCGGTCGTCCAACTACGTCAACGTCATCGTTGCCGACAAGCAGGAGCATCTGCAGTACCTCCCCATGGAGGACGCCATCGTGCACTGCACCAAGGGTATCGGCATCTGGCCCCAGTTCTCCACCGACCACGGTGCGGAGCCCGACGTCGTCATGGCGTCGTGCGGTGATATCTCGACGCACGAGTCGCTCGCCGCCATCGACCTGCTCCTGCAGCACTTCCCCGAGCTCAAGATCCGCTGCGTCAACTGCGTGGACCTCTTCAAGCTCATCTCGCACGTCGACCACCCGCACGGTCTCACCGACGCCGAGTGGGTGTCCATCTTCACCGACGACAAGCCCATCATCTTCAACTTCCACAGCTACCCGTGGCTCGTCCACCGCCTGGCGTACAAGCGCCCCGGCAACCTCAACATGCACGTCCGCGGCTACAAGGAGAAGGGCAACATCGACACGCCGCTCGAGCTGGCCATCCGCAACCAGACGGACCGCTTCAGCCTGGCCATGGATGCCATCGACCGCATCCCGCACCTCAAGAACAGGGGCGCCGCCGCCCGCGAGGCCCTCCACAGCGCCCAGATCAAGGCTCGCAACCAGGCCTTCGAGGACGGTGTCGACCCCGCGTTCCTCAAGAACTGGACCTGGACCCACACTGGACTCTGGAAGTCCACCCTTCCCAAGCTCCTGGGTTAGAGTATAAACTATTAGACTGGGGATGACGAGTGATGTATGATTTTCTTTTTTTTTCCTTTTGTATATGGATGGTCAGGATGGTAAATAGTCTGTCGCGTCTCGCATAATGGGTATCAATAAAGAGTTTTAGACTATATTTTGCTCTGAGCGTATCTTGCTGGATGTGAATAAGTGACTCATCGGTGCGTGTGCCTATGTATAAGGGAGTCATGGTAGATGCCTCACCACCGATGGTCCTCAGTTTCTGTGTCAAGATGTTTACGTCTCGACAAGCAGTCGCGTAAAACAAGAAGGGAAAAAAAAAAGAAGAAAAAAAGAGAAGTGAAGCTTGAAGAGCAATAACGGAATGCAGAAGAAGAAAGAAAGGTGTCAAGGAAAAGAATGGATGTTGTCTGGCAACTTGTGCTTGTGCTCGTGCATGACAAGGCGGGTGTCGGCGCCCTAAGCCTCAACAAACACCAAAAGCGAAGCCTGCCCGGCTAGCTCAATCGGTAGAGCGTGAGACTCTTACGGGGTTCTCCATCATCTCAAGGTTGTGGGTTCGACCCCCACGTCGGGCTCAATTCCCGTCGACGATTCAGTCTTCTGTTTTTTTTTCTTCTTGTGAGTTTTTTTCCTCGTTTGGTTCGGGATGTGGACAAGTGGTTTGCGGGTCGGTCGGAGTGGGGAGTGGGATGGGAGATTTTACTGGGTGGGGCGCGGTTTTAGTTTCTGCTGGGATGGCTCGAGGATGGAAGGGCCGTTCTGTTCGGGGGAATAAACGGGTCAGGGTTGGATTCGTTTGCTGAGGGGGAACTGTGAGTTCGTTGAATTGATGGGAGTTCGTCATCCAGTTGGTTTTTGGCATGTCGGAGATGATCGTCCGCAACGGGAGCGACAGGTTTGTCGACGGGAAAAACGCCGATGAGTTCTGGTGGCGGGGGAAGTTGTTTGGGTACTGTAGCACCCGATCGAGGATCGACCGGTTGGGTGCTTGGATCAGCAGCGCCGGTGCGACTTGCAACAACTCGGAGGTTCATTGTGGATTGGCCAAGGTACCTTACCTACCGTGTAAGGGGGCATGTCTCGTGAAGCTGTGAGACATAGCGGACCGTCGCTGTTGTGTTTCCGTCTTGACAACGTGGGCGATTATGGGGTAAGCTGTAGGACTTGTCTGTTCCTGGAAGACTGACGTAAACAAGCCCCTGACAGAAGAGGTCCGGGTCGTCTTGGGGTACGGAGGGGATGTGGGCTGGCTTGTAGTCCTCACACAAAGACTAGTAGCTCCGCCTTCGAAACTTTTGTACGTGTATAATATAATGTAATATGGAGGAAAGAGTCCTTTCTATGTCAAGGCGTGCACCAGCCGCCAACGCCGTGCCGTTCTTGACCCAAGATTGGGAACTGCACCCGTGCGTTGGTGTCAGGACGTCACTGAAGGGGAGGGGAGACGGGAGGGGTTCCGACATGTGGATCTGAGCCGATCTCATCTGTTTTGAGGCGCTGGAACGGTTGGGGAAGCACGAGTGACGTAGGCATTGGCGCGGGGGCGGGCGCTTGCGGCTGGATGTCGAGATCAACCTTTCGGTTTCGGCAAGGTCTGGATCTGCAGATCCGTAGCGAGTGCTCCGATTGCTCGGGGTGGAGGGTTTGAGAGTGTCTGGGCGGAGTTTGAACCCCTGGGCGGAGAATTGAAGAAGATGCCCCTGAACCCCCCGCTCCGGCAATGGGAATCAAGAACCTGGAGTCTGAGTCCGCATCTTGAGCTTGGCCAATTCGTTACGCGCATTTGTCAGCCCATCTTTTGCAAACGATACCTCTACGCTGATCATCTGGTCTAGAGGGCCAATGGGATGGCTCTCTGTCTCAAGCACTTATATGCGATAAGAGTGAGAGCATGCAACCAGCCCTGATGTTGTATGCTTGTGTATGTGTAGAGAAGGGTTGGAGCAAATACAGATGAGATGTGTCTTTGCTGGTGAACTCTGATGCGGTTGGCGTTGGTTGTTTTGGGTGGAACCGCCATGACGGAAGAGAGGGGCTTGGCGCAGCATATTCGGGGCAACAGGCGAGGGTAAGGTAACTTGCTGGGTAACTAAGCGACAAGCGCGTGGCTTGGCATCTGCATGGCGGGAAACTAGCCATGCGGAGAGTTGGAGAAGGCACGGCCCTCGGCCTTTCTAACCCAGGCCCCAGATTCCCTAACGAGACACTGCTCGGAAAATAGGACCAAAACAGGAGCCTCTCCCCGCAAATCTTGCGGCTCGGTGCAAATTCCCTCTAAGCCTCCTGCTTATGGATCTGCTGCAGCTGTCCGGAGTTTCCGCAGGTCAAAAGGCCTCTCGCTGGCTCCTGCATCTGTGTCTCAATCTCGAGTGGGGTTACGACCAAGTTAAAAAGTGGGGGAAACCTGGAAGCTGCCTCGAGGCTGCATCCATGCGCAGGGTTGGGACGACTGATTGGGCAGGTGGGGCTCTTCTGCAACTTCGATCCTCTTCGAGCGGACGAAAAGCTCCGCCCGAGGTCAAGCTCGCATTCCTCTGCAAAACAAACTTCCAGATCATTGCGATGCGATCCCTTTGCTCTTTCGTTTCTGAAATAAACACAGTGTCAGTTGACGTCACATTAGCATGACATACGGGGTCCTCGAGGAAGCTTATGCGGACAAGAAGAGCCGGGGAAGCAGCACCTTTCGGACCTGCATTCTGCGCCCAGGGCAGCTGCTTTCTCGGCTGGTAGGTAATGTACGTTAGGCCTTTCAGGGTTCCCGCCGGGGCTCGGCTAGATAGGGAACTGAAGGCACTTCTTGAGCATGTGTATTCCCTTGCTGCTCATTCCAGGGCAGAGTTGCATGAGCTTTGTGGTGCATATGCAGTTGTCCAAAGGCCCTCGTTAGTTTGACCGGCATTCGCCGGCATCGACCAGCCTTTTCGAAAAACGGGAGACGAACTATCCAGCGCACTCTGTAGTCGAACTCTTCAAAGAAACACACCACTGAAGAGTAAAATCTTCGCGTGTCATCGTTGGGAACGGAGGAGGTTCCTGCGAGGCTCGAGTAAGAATGACGTAGCAGGTTGCCCTTTCGCCCACAGTGTGCAAACGACGCAACCGACATCCCCACAGCTCCATGATTCCGATGGTGAAAGCTGACTTTTGGATGCCGGAGCAGCGGCTCCCCCTTTCCTCGATGCCACACCCGGGCTGGAGACGCGCGCCAAGAATGGCTCGAACACACCAGAATCCTCGGCCGAGGTGGCACCCAGCGAGCGATGTAACCATGCTGAGCCATGCAGCCTGCGAGCCCACGAGGACAAGGCCTGTTTCATGGGAAGGCGGCGCCAGATTCGCCGGGTGCCTTGACCGGCAGCTGTCGAACTCCCTCCAATGCACATTGGTTTGTTTGTTTGGCTCGTCGTTACGGTGTGCAGCGCACTGTTTTCATTTGTTTTCATGTTATCTAAGTGAGCCCCACCAGGCGCCAGTGTGCCCAACGTGGACCAACCTCTGGCCATCCAACAACGAGAACTCCGGCACTCTGGTCGTGTCAAGGTCGACGACATGTTGTGTACGTAGCATCAGGTGGCCAGTCAGAGCAAGTCAGATTCAGTTGTGCGTGTCTTGCACAAACCACGAGGCGCCGAGGCCAGCATACGGAGTGCCACAGTGTCACTGGAGAGGAGTTCCCGGTGAGTTCCCAGTGAGTTCCTAGTGATTTCCTGCCGGGCGGAGGAGTGGGCCCTGACCACTTGCAGGTTGTGCAGGTTGCCGGGTTCGAGCCGGGCGACTACGGCAGGCACTGGCAGGCGAGGCAGGCAGGCGAGGCAGGCAATCGGCTGGGAGGGACAGCGCAGCCCCACCAATTGACGTAACAGTCACAGGTGGAGCTGGGATCGAGATCGCAGCCTCTCACAAACGGCACACAGTCTCTGGACAGTACCCGCCCCCTCCCCACCACCGATCCGGGCCCTCCATCTCGATAGCGGAGGCAGAGTCAGGAGAGCATGCATCGATACTCCCCCGGAATGGCCTGCTTTCTACTCAGTTCCATGCTCGGCGCCTACCGTGCCATACCTGTGCCATACCGTGCCCGCCTCAAAAGCCCCCGATCCTTACTGTGTAATTCTCCGCATTCCAAGAAATATACCGGCCGACTGCCCTGCCCTTCACGGTACAAAAGCAACCCTTCCTCTTGTTATCTTGGTGCCGTTCCCCTGATCCTGCAAAACATCTCGACGCTCCATCCGTTCGATCACTCACTGCTGTAATCCCTCCACCCATTGACGCTGTACTTGGGCCAAGTCTGGACTCGAGGTGTGCAGAAGCGCCACACATATCTAGAAAAGAGACTGAGACCGTGCCCCATACTCTGCTTGTCTTCGGCATCTGAAGCAAGTCCGCGCTCGCCCGTCAACAACCGCCTATTGGCCGGTCCTACGTTACCTTACCTTGATATCTCGACGACTGCAAGAGACTCCTGCGGTCCGAGACCAGGCTTGCATACCGGCCGTTAACATGCCCATGAAACGCCTCTCCCCTGCGTCCGATTCCAGCGATGTGGCAGAGCTGCCCCTGAAGAAGGTACGGGGAACTTGCCGGCGTTCTTTTGACGCATCGAAGCCCACTGACGACGTCTTGACGCAGACCCAACGAACCCATGAGGAGAACCAAGAGCGGGCCTACATCGCCGCATCACGCAGGGCCGACCGCGACATCGAGCACCGCATCCGGTCCGCGCTGAAAGCGTCTGAGTGCCGCAGGAAGCGCACCGGCCGCGGCCTCAAGATCACTCGCGAGGCTGTCATGGGAGACGAGCAGTACGAGAGCGAAGACGACGACCCCGCGACCCGCCGCTACAGCCTGCCCGCCACGGCCACCCACCTCTCGCACCCCTACCCCTCCAACCAAGCCGACCGCTACGCCGAGATCGACGCCCTCTTTGCCCAACACTTCCCCAACGTCCACCTCTCCTCCTCGCAATGGCGGCCCCAACCACACCCACACCAACAACAGGCCCCCTACCACCCGCGCGCCCTCTCCCTCCAGACAGCCTACATCCCCCGCTACCCCCACCCCGAGGCAGCCGCACCAGCACCGCCGGCAGCAGCAGCAGCAGCAGGAGCAGCAGTCGGAGCAACACACCCCTCCCCGCTCATCACCCCACCAGCCTCCTACCCCCTGCCCCCCGCCCGCCTAGACGAGGACCCCAGCGCCGCCAAGTCCCGCTCCATGTCCCCCCTGGCACTAGAGGGCTCCTCCTCCTCCTCCCTGCCCAAACCGCCCACCTCCCAGCCGGCGGCGACGGTCACGGCGGCGGCGCTGAACCTCGGTGACATCAGCCTCGCGGACCCGGGCTACATCCTCGACGCGCACGACCACGGCGGCGCGTGGTATCACCATCCCCATCATCATCATCACCAGCAGGAGCAGCCACCACAACAACAAATGGGGCCTGACGGCCCTTCGGGACGAGGCGGAGCGGGACCGGGAGCGGGACCGGGCGGGTGGCACGCGCGGACGTTGTCGCTGCCCCTGTCGCTCGAGGGCGGGTTTCAGTTCCCTGCGCCGTCGGCGTCGGCGTCGT